CGAATTTTAGTTTTTGTCTGTAACAACAAAGTTTGAAGATTTATTATCATCGTACGTTAATTAGGATAGGAGGATGAACTTGCAAAGGAGTTTCGTTTAAAACACGAACTTTTCTTCTCAAACTAAATACATGCATTTATTATTGAAAATGACTCGTTTCTAAATGAGATGTACCAATTTCTTCATGATACCACTTATGAACTAAACTGTCAAAACATAACGCCCGTTCATTGGATTGATCAATCAGTCGTTATTGACTCAATTCGAACAAACATAAGATTATTTCTTGAATATGCTAAAGCAAATAGTAATAAACAAAATATTAAATTTGTCGTTGAATGGACACAACTGTCAACAACTGAAGATCCGACAGAATCAAGTGTTATTTCAAATCTCGCACCAGAAACCACATACAGATTCAAAATACAAGCAATTACTTTAGCTGGTGATACGGCTGAGAGCGATGTGAGTAGTCGAATTTAGACAAAATCTAGCCCATCAGCATCAGGTACAGCACGAATTTCCGATTTGATACGGACGGTCTTCGAGGGATGTCCAAATATTTATGAGATTCAATAACAAGAACAAATGATTAATGCAAAGATGCGTCTTAGAAAATGCTCAGTTGGCAAACAAGTTCCAATGGACAGAACATATCCAACAGAAAAATCATCTTGTTAGTTGGTGTATCAGGTGGTGTAAAACAACTCTTATCAATGCTTTGGTTAATTATTATTATGGTACGACTTAAAACGATAATTTTTGATTGCAGTTGATAACGCAAGAAGATGAAGATGAATCCGGTTTAGCTGTTAGTCAATCTAAACGTCAAGCAAAGTGGATTTCAGCATATACACTTCATTGTCAGCCACAAGGTTCTGTGTCCTATAGGTTAACTGTCATTGATACGCCCGGTTTTGGTGATGTTGGTGGTTTGAACGATTTTGGATAGAAAAGGTGGTGGCGTAGCAGCAAACGCCGTTGAAATCTTTGATTCAATGTATCAGAAGCTATCTACTAGATTTCAAGGTCAATTGAATAAGATGCATAAAATTTCTGCTAAACGTCAGAACTCAAAACAAAATGAACCATTTAGTAGAAAACTGAATTCTATCGACTGTCATTATTTTGAAATTTTCTCAAGAAAATATCTAGGTCAGAAAATTAAAATTAAAAAATTTTAAAATTTTACATTCGACTTTTGAGCTTTAAAATTCCATTTTGAAATTTGATATTCGTGATCAGCACAAAAAGCTGCATCTAATGATGTAGCTTTCAATCTGATTGAAAAAAAAAATTCGTGAAACCTGATTTGAAGAGGACCGTTAGCTGGCCACGCCGTTAAGACAAAATGCGAAACAATCTTACGATAAAGTAACGTAGAGACTTCAGATCGGTTCTTAGTATTAGATTTATTCCTAATAAAAAGTAAATTGAAAAGAAAAAACATATCAATCTACTGTCACACCGACACCCCTCTCATATGCAACCGGATTTACACGCTCTTTTTCTTATACTCTATACACTTAGTCACCTGCTAAATCGGATCCCTGTAACCAATCAAAATGTGAGAAAAGTATGTGGATACAACTCTAAGAGGATGTAAATTCCAACACCAACTCCGAATCTGGTCCGGCCATTTTTACATGGAGGACCATCTTAAATTTAAACCCGAAACTTCCATTTCCTTCGGAAATCGGACAAGTCCTCGGGTTTTCGCAAAACGAATATTGCTTATATTTGAGTTTTCTGAAAACCTTTTAGAAAACCCTTTTTCCCAAAAAGCCTGTAAAAATTCGGAAAGAGAATTGTACGGGCTGGAAAGCTAAGATTGCAAACGAAAAATCACGTTCTGAACGAAAATCGTCATTCGTGAGTAGGGGTTCTTAACGTTTCATGGTTGAAATATAAAAACCCAAATACAAAAAAATAGAAAGAAAACAACAACAAAAATAATTTATCACGATTTAACGAAATGCATCAGTGTATTTGTTCCAAGTACTATCAGCTCTTGGAAAGTTTGCGATATTTGTTTCATCGCATTTGACGGGCTAGGTTTTGTTTGAATTAGACAACTCACATCGCTCTCAGCCGTATCACCAGCTAAAGTAATTGCTTGTATTTTGAATCTGTATGTGGTTTCTGGTGCGAGATTTGAAATAACACTTGATTCTGTCGGATCTTCAGTTGTTGACACTTGTGTCCATTGATCATCTGGATTTTTTTGGTAATAAATCTTATATTGTTGAACACTCTGACTGCCATAGTTTGGTTTTGACCATTTGAGCGTTATACTTTGAGATGTAACACCTGTTTCAATAGGTTTTCCTGGTTTGCTTGCAATTTGAAAATCCACAGAAATGCCATTTTGATAGAGAATAACTGATACTCCTCTAGCCATGTTACGTTCGTCTGAATATTGTTCATCAACGACAAATTTAATATTTTGTTTATTACTATTTGCTTTAGCATATTCAAGAAATAATCTTATGTTTGTTCGAATTGAGTCAATAACGACTTGTTGATCAATCCAATGAACGGGCGTTGTGTTTTGACAGTTTAGTTCATAAGTGGTATCATGAAGATATTGGTACATCTCATTTAGAAGCGAGTCATTTTTTTCTATTAAATGAATAACCAAACAGAGTGTAAATTCACAATGGACATCGCTTAGGGCTTCATCAAATGAACTTGGTGATGTACTAACATTTTCTTCTTTTTTCACAATATCAATAAATGCTTTTACTCTTGATATTTCTTTTGCTTTTAAATTAAGCCAATTAGCTACTTTCTGTTTGTTGAATGGAGATAAACTGACTTGTTTAAACAGATTAGCTAATTCTATATCTTCAACAGTACCACCACGAATTTTGGGCAATAATTCCATTAGTCGCTTTTTCATAGCAATTTTAAATTCAGATATACGAGCACAAAACGTTGACAATTGTTCTTTATTTCGATGAAACATAATATCAAATGCTGCATGATTCATCAAATCATTTGCTTTGATTTCCGCTTCATGTAGACCTTCAATAAGTTCCACGGACAAGTTAACCGAACTGCTACTAATATCACGAGTTATTTTCATTGCTGAATTATCTAATAAATGAAGTGGATATAACCATACTTTTTTTGGTACACCTTTTTCATCATTTGTACCGAGAAATGATGGTAATCGCTGATATAATTTAACTGCTTCTTCAAATGTACTTGGATTATGCTCGATATGAAAATCGCCATAAAACTGACATGTTAATCTTTCAGCTATTTTTTTCTCATTATCATTTAAATCTAATTTGCCGTTGCCCGAGATTTCAAATTTTGGAATTTTTTTCAACATTGCCTCAACATGTCCATGTACTTCTGTACGATTTTCATTACTAGACAATATTCGATCAAATATAAAAAATGCTTCAGCACCATAGGAAATACCAGTAACAACATGAGTGGCAGTTTGTTGATCAAATACTTCTGTATAACTCGCATTACCTTTACCCAAATGCTTCATTGTCAGTTGTTCAAAACGTGTTGTAGTTGAATATTTCAGTGTGAGACGTTCTTGATGTTCTGTTGTTTTACGATCATGAACATATTTAGCTGAACCAGATGCTTCAATGAGACCAGACAGCACACTCATTTTAAGATTAGCATCCATCCCAAGCACTTGTGTTTTTTCTTGTAATGTATCTTCTTTTAAGATTTGATAAGTCGTTGATGGGTTAGATCGAGAATCGATATTATTTTTCAGTATTTCAGGCTCCCATAATGTAAAACCAGGAACAAGCTGATCATTTCTTGAATCATACAGCATTCCAAGTTGAAATGGACGACCAAGTGTCATTATTTCCATGGTCGAGCTATTTGCAGTCGTATATTACGATATACGAGATTAAAATCTGGTAAATGTGTATCGTATATGGATTATTGTAATGATCAAAACAGACATATGTCTACGACCATCGTTATTAAGACGTATATGTGAGCGAATATTCAATGAGAAAAATCGAACATATGGAAATCTAAAAGATTGTCAGCAATTAGTAGCAAAACATGATTTCGAAAC